GAGTCTCCTGCCTCAGCCTCCCAAGTAGCTGGGATCACAGGCACCCACCACAACACCCGGCTATTTTTTGGTTGCAGCCGTCGTTGTTTGGTGGGTCCGGTCTGGATTCGAACCCGCCACCTTAGGTGTATGTGGCTGGCACCTTAGCCACTTGAGCCACAGGCACCGAGCCCTTTTTAATTTTCAATTACAATTAAAAGTCACACTCAAGCCACCCCCTGCACACACAAACCCAAAGTTTCCCCCTCTGTCTCTCTCCTTTGGCATCTCCCTGCCTCCCTTTTTCCCAGCTGTCCTGCTGCCATGTGCTGGGAAGAGTTCAGAGCTCCCTTTGCTTTGGTACTGATCACGCAGTGGTACTTTTGACACTGGTCCCAGCATAGGCATTACATCCCGTCCCACTGCTAGTCTGCACTTCTGAACAGCCCGAGATTCTGTCTCATCCTCAGGCTTTAACAGTGGGCTTCTTTCAGTTCACACATGCATGTGTAGGCAACATTTCCCAACTGGACTTCTGGCCTGAGTCAGCCACCTGTGTTGCTGGAGGCAGCCTTTCACTCCAGGTTACCCTGAGCCCAGGGGGCTAGTCAGTACCCTCTCTTCTTATGGATGAGTTTCTCTTTAGAATTCTTTTCCTGACAGTTTATCTTGCTTGAATAAAATTGAAACCCTACCTTGGCAAGCACCAAAACTGTAGGAGTAATATGGGAAGGAATAGGTGTTCTCCTCCACATTTTCTTTTCCTTTCACAATTTGACCACAGACCTCCTCAATTTCTAGCTCCCTCCCAATGCCAATACCATAGCTTCTGTCATAGCTCCTTAGAAAAGCAGACCTAATGGGTTTTTAAATTTTGGTGTTTTTAGGCAGAGATCACTAGAAAACAGAGATGAGTTAGAGGTTTGTAATGATTCAAAATTAACTGGTAAAATGTAGCAGAAATGAGTCAGCTATTGGCTAGAGGATGGCAAGCCTCATTTATAAAAGAATATTTTCTCCTTCCAGTGGATTTTTAGGATTCTTTCTCATGTTCAGTACAGTGAAGCTAAAAAGCCTTCTGGCCCCAGGACAGTGTGCAGCCTGGATTTTCGTTGCTAAGGTAAGAGAAAGGGGAAGGTGGGAAAGTGTCTTACGAGCTTGTGTGTCCGGCACTCTCAGAGCCTGAGTAATGTGATGTTTAATCTTGAAACCATTCCCAGGCCCTGGCCCAGAGCCCGATCCTTCATTCATTTTGGTAATAATTTCTGATACCTTCTGCCTGTTTTATCAGCAGGACATATTTAATTTTTATCACATCCTGGAAGGTGATCATGGGTAGGCCCCTTAACTTCCCTAAGCCTTATTTATTCATCGGAAAATAAGAAGTTTTGCCAAAAATTCTCTAAGCCTTCTCCAGCTGTAAGGGTCTAGACTCCCAGATGAGTAGGATAGTTCTGATTTTCCCTTTCTGGGGGAAGTGAGGTGCTTCAGAGCTCAAGTGGTTTGTCCAAAAGGACTCAGCTTATCTGAGATGACATAGAAATGAAAATAGACAAATGGCCAGTTTGAGGCACTTGGGTGAAGCCCAAGAATGGCCTTTGTGTATTAAATGACTGTAATTGAAGCATAAGGTAAAGTGCTGGGGAAAGCATGAGGAAAGGAAGGGCCAGGAGAGTGGTGAGGGATGTGCTTTGAGGCCACCTTCTTTCCGTGGGCCATTTCCTTTCCCTCTTGTCTCTGAAGAAGTCAAGTTTCAGGGCCCCAGGTGCTGCTTCCAATGAGTGCAGTTTTAAAATGTAATCTAACAAAATCATTATTTAAATTTGGGCCTTCAGTCATCTTTTGGTTGATTTTTATCCATAAAAGACCCTAAACATTTTCCTTTGAAAATAGGTTTCATAGTGTTACTTTCACTCACATGATCTGCTTTTTAATAGCACAAATAATCCCAGTTCCAGCAGAATGTAAAGAGTGGTTGAGATATTGAATTCTAGCATGACAGAACAAAGAGGTTGATGAAACCTATTCTCAAAAAGGAACTAGAAAGCTGGAAAAAGTGTGTCAAAACATCCATTTCAGCTCTCTAAAAATTGACCAAAGGCACACAACCAACTGCGAGGCATTTGTTCATGGAAACTACTAAACTTTGGGGAGGAACAGAATGAATGTGTGGCATCCCAGCTCTGTCAGTGTGATCATTCAACCAAAGCAGGGCAGGCTGTGAAAATCAGAAAGCTTGGGGCTGCTTCCAGAAGGGGCTCACTTTATTTGGAAGATTGTCTTTTAAACTGGAGGCCAACTCAGCAGTAAATGAACAGAAAATCCCAGAAGCTCTACTAGCTTGAATTTATAGTCCTCTTTAGAGCAAGTAATGGACCAGTGACCAAGAGGGGAACTTACTAGATGGTTCTAGGAGGTGAGACAGCCATCAGGGCCTTGCTAGCTCTCCATATACCCCAGAGAGATCCTAGTCTGTGTGCATGAGCCACGGACATGGAGAAGGCTCAAAATACCAACAGGTCCCTGGCCAGAGGAGACTGTGTGCACACATGGGGGTGGGGGTGGGGGATATGAGAGCCTGCAGGAAGTAAAAGCTGGGAGAGACATAAAAATAGCCTGAGGTTTGAATGTGCTCCCCAGCCCACCCCCAGAGTCAGGAGCAGAGAGTGAAAGGTTTTCTGGCTCAAGGTATTAGACCAAAACCTCTAACTAGACTTTGCCAGAACACTAAGCTACGGAGACATGGGGATGACCCCTACCTAGAAGTCAGACTTAAAAGCAAGGAGAAAAGTTGGAAAAAGAAGTCAGCAATTGCACCTGGGCAGACTTAGTCCAGGAATATTACTAAATAAGCAAAACAGTAATAATGATAACCCTATGGGAAAAGTCAGGATTCCAGGTTGCTACCATATATTATATAAAAAGACTCAGTATTCAACAACAAAAAAGAGATATTCGGAAAGGCAAAATGTGATGTATGTGCAGGAAAAAAAGCCATCAAGAAGAACAGTCTCTGAGTGTCTGTCCTGAGATGTAGGATACAGCTGAAAAAGACTACAAAGTAGCTATTTAAAGATATGTGGAGATCAGAAAGAAATCATGTTTAAAAAAATTAAAGAGTTAGTAAATACTGAATCTCAATAGAGAGAAACTTTTATTTTTTATTGATCTATTTATTTTGGAGACATAATCTCACTTTGTTTCCCAGAGTGCTAGGATTACAGGTGTGAGCCATCGTGCCTGGCCTGAGAGCAATTATTTTTTAAAAGAACCAAATGGAAATTCTGGAGTTGAAAAATACAGTAGATGAAATGAAAATTCTCTAGAGGGACTCAACGTTTGAGATGAGAAAAGAAAGAATTAATAGAAGGTAAAGCAAAATAAATCATTCAATATAAAGAACAGGTTTTTTAAAAATTGAAGTAATGTGAACAGAGCCTCAGATCTGCATGACATCAAACATATCAGCATATGTGTACAAAGAATCCCAAAAGAAGAGAAGAGAGGGATAGGAGCTAATAGCTGAAGAAATGATGGATCAAAACGTCCCTAATTTGATGAAAAACATTAATTTACAGATCCAAGCCCCTAGTAGGATAAGAAAAAAGAGATTTATACCTGGACACATTATAATTATACTTTTGAAAGACTTAAAGAAAATCTTGAAAGCAGCAAGAGGAAGATAATTCAACATGCATGGGGGAAAAAGGCTGATTCAACATGCATGATAGGCTGACCGCTCATCAGTAACAGTGGAACCACTGGGCATGGTGCCTCACCCTTGTAATCTCAGCAGCTCAAGAGTCTGAGGTGGGAGGCTCTCTTGAAGCCAGGAATTTGAGACCAGCCTCAGCAACATAGTGAGATGCCATCTCAATAAGTAAATAAATAAATAGTACATCCTCTGTCATTTCCTTTTTTAAAAAATCTGTGAAAGGGGAGTTATGAAAAAAAGAAAAAATAAATCAATGGAGACCAGAAAGCAGCAGGATGACACTTTCAACATGCTGAAAGAAAGCTTGTCAGTTAAGAACTCAATATACAGTGAAACTATCCTTCAAATATAAAAGAGAAATAGACATTCCTGGTGCGGCACCTGTGGCTCAGTGAGTAGGGCGCTGGCCCCATATACCTAGGGTGGCCGGTTCAAACCTGGCCCCAGCCAAACTGCAACAAATAAAAAATAGCCA